AATATGCCTTTCAACTGTGCCCAGTGAAATGCACCTTGCTGATTCTACCTCAAAGCTTGCAAACAGTTCAGCTTCATCCAAAGGATCCAAAGAAGAGTTTTAAGCTAGGAAGCTAGTGGTTTCACCTGTACTAAGGCCGTGAAATTCCCATCTCCATCCAATAAGATACTCAAGCACCCTGGGATTCCTCCCCTTATCATAACTCCAAGGCTCACCCAACGTTTCCATGTTTTTTCATGCTTTTCTTGCTGTTCATGTACATGCCTGACTTCCCCCCAAAACAGAGCTGCAGTCAGTGTGCAATCCAGACAGCTGCCATCCAGTGTGCCTTTGTTTTCCAAGGTTTTAACACGTTTCAGTAACAGAGACAGGTTATACTGAGGTACTTATTTGCCAATCCCAATCCATGTCAGACTTCCCCTTCAATTTCACACAAAGTTACTCCATCTGACCAATTTTCACCCGACCCCACTCTGCAGCACCTCCACCTGTACCAACAGCCACATGAAAGCTGTACTTGGCCATCCAGCACAGCAGTGAGCATGGAGACAAGATCACACCGCTCTCCGCACTGCACCCAAGACGACCCTTGGATTTGCACAGCAATAGGAACTGCTGGATAAATGCAGTTTTCACCTGCTGCAGTCAGCATGATGTAGCTGATATTTTACCTCATTCCACCATTTCACAGTTTTCTCATCCTTTGAATTGTCTTACCAAAAGAAAAAGAAAAAAAAACAACAAAACCATCTCTTGTTTCTTGAGCCCGTCTCAAGTTGCCAGCACAGCCATCACACAGCCACCTCAGCAAGCAGCAAGCTTTTTTTAAATCCAGCTACTTCCCAAAGCAAAGAGGGGAAGCCAGGTTACAGGACATCACTTGCAAGCTCAGCACTTTAACAAACACGAAGATAGAAAGTATCACCTGAAAGAACACAAAATTCCCGGAGGAAATAAGTATTTCATTTACGGTGGGGTGGATTGATGGCTTAAGGCAAGCACTAGGCTCATGTCTTTAGAGCCATCTCAACCCCTTTTCCTTCCGCACAAAATCCTCTTAAGTGCTCTTTTTGTTCTTGTCTAGCTGATGGTGCTAGAATTCTCAGATCCCAGGTTCTGCCTTCACCCACACTGCTCGCCCTCCCGCTCCGCAACAAGGATGTGATGGAAATCCCAAGGCACTGCACCAAACAAGAACTCTGCTCTGCTCTCTGTAACTGAAAGACCTGGAGGACATCCTCCAGAACAGCACCAGTAATGACTTGCTCTGCAGCCCAGCTATGAACACTGAAAGCAATTTCTTATGGGTTTAAACCAAGAGGCAGGGCTCCCAAATCAACGCCGTGCTGATAAATAACACAAGCTACGCCAGTGGAATATAAAGCAGCAAGGCTGAATTTGCATTCAGCAGGAATAAAGCAGGTAATTTATGGGAAGGGCAGCTGGATAAGTCAAGGGCCTACAGATGCATTCTGCAACTCCTCAGCCCAGCTCGAACAAGGCAGCACAAGCTCACAGAGCACAGGCTTACAGCAAGCTGCACTTCCACTAAATCCTAAAGGAGGACAGCAGGGCCAAAAAGAGAACCAAATAATACAAGGAAGTCTGATTCTTTGATGCCAAGGACTCAAGCCACCATTCTAGGAAACCGAGCACCAGGTATTACCTAACATAATTAAAGTAATTCTAAATAAAAGCCTATTTTAGACAACCACAGATAGGAAGCAGATCCCGTTTCTGATTCCTGAACTCAGAGATTTGTTGCAGCTAAAAAGCCAGAAGGATTGGGTTGCCACTCCATTTGGCATGGAAAATTACAACTTTATAATTAGGAAACAAGCAGAGCAGCTTCCACAAGCATTCTCCATTTTCTCCTTGTAATAAAACCTCTCAGCTCAACCAGCAGGGAGACGTATTTAAAACTTGCTTGACCAGCATTCACCCTTGAATTCCTGTTCAAGTCAGAAAAGCTTTGTAATAAATAAACAAACAAATGTAACCTACCAGCAAACAAACCCTGCACTACAGCACAGCTGGGGGGACCAGAAAGGTGGGAAAAGGTTTATAATGCTCAGATATTCATTGCTCCTTCACACCGCATGGATGCCACCCACAGGGGAAATTCAGATTTGAAATCTCACCGTTTTAAGTGCAGTTTACCCTCTTCCTTGCTGGAAATGGCAAGGAATTAGGAAAAGTGGGCAAGCTGGGGGCAAAACAATGCTTTGGATCTTGTGCATTAGGGGAAGAGAGACAAAGGTTTGGTTGGGCATTTCAAACTCTTCAGAAGTCCTTACATAAATCAGCCGAAAGGAGTCAAATTTTAACGCACAGTGACTGACTGAGGATACAGATGAAAACAGGAGACCAGTTTCATTTTGAGCACCTTTAACTTTTGGAATTTCATCCTTCGTCTGGAAAAAACACAATCACTGCACCGAATAGAAGTGGGACAGAAAACCAGGCTCAGCACAGACCTGAACTCCAGCCCCAGCTGCCTGCACAGGCACCTTTCAGAACTTCACACTCAGGCAGTAAAATTGCAGCTCTTCAGAAGGCACTGAAACAGCTTCATGTTGAAACAAAACTCGAGGCAGCACGGCAATGATGTGCACCAGTTCAAGGGGAGGAAAAAGAAATCAGCTCTACAATTTGAATTAGAGTAAGGAACCCTTTGGATGTGACCAAACATAGCTCCAAAGGGCAGGCAGGAGAATTCTCCATGCACAGTTTGGAGCTCATCAGCCATCCTTTGCATGGGAAACTCAACTGAGAAGAAGCCCAGCAGACAACTGTAGAATGTGTCTTTGCCACAGAGAATCATTTAACTACTAATGCAATAAGCACTAAAAATAGTAATTCAAAAGAGTTAAACTCTGCTTTCATTCTGGTTCATTCCCAGATTTCAATTAATAAGATATCAGCATGTATATTTACCATATGAGGAAATCCCATCTGAAGATCTCGTGGTTCAAATATTCTCAAGCCAAAGATTTAACATCACTACATTCACAGCATTCCCTGTCCCAACGACACCCACCAATTTGATTTACTTTGAGAATTTGCTTTTTAAGACAGCATTTATCTAAGCTCATATACTTAGCTTACAAAACACAGACTCTACAAAATAACTCAAATCAGGATTTCTCAGGAGGCACAAGGTGCAAAGGACATGCTGTGAGCACTGATAACCTTCCCTGAGCTGATGCCATGGGTTTCAAGAGTGACACAATCGCAATCAGAAACAGACTCAAGAGTTCAAGAAGATGAAAAAGTGTCCTCATCAGTTGATTGGTTTCACAAATTTTACACTATTTTGGTAGCACCTGTATAAAACAGCAGCTGTGCCAGTGCCATTTTAGCTCCTTCATGCTCCATCTGAGTATTGTCTATTAAAGCAAAAGATCCTGGGGGTGCTCTAGAAGAGAACTAAAGCTGAAACTGGAAATTGCACTGTCTGCATAATGCTGATTATAAGAGCAAGGTTTTATTAACACATCACCACAGCTCATTTACCTCTTGTAACCAAGCCCAGTGACCTTTCTTGCAGTAGGCCTGGATAAACCACACTCCAGTTGCCCCACTCAGTGAGCAAGCCTTCAGGTGTGTACACAGCCACCACAACACACAAATAACGGGGCAGCTGCCACAGGTTCCTACCTGAAGTCCACCCAACTGCTGAGTCTAGCACAGTACTGGAGATCCTGGTCAGATTTCTCCCGTGCCCACTGCTCTCCGTGACTAAACATGAGAAATCAGAAGACAGCAAAAGCTTATAGCACTCACAGGACTTCTAAAGAGCTTGTGCTTTATCTCCCCTGAAGAGTGATAAAGTCACACACCTCAACTAAATTATTCTTACAGTATATTTTTGCATTCCCTTAAAAGCAGCAAGTATCACCACTGTTGTTTTACATGAAGCCTGCTTGTTTTCCTTCAGTTCTTTCTGTGTGAGGATTTCTGCTAATGCAGAAGTCAGGACAGTTGGTTGAACTCCTGACTAATAAATCCTGCAGCAGGTCTCATGCACAAAGACTTCAGCCAGGCCTCCTGGTCTAACATTCACAGGTGAAGTTAGATGCTCCATCATACCAATCCCACGCACAGGTGCCAAGCACAGCTTTGCTCCAACAGGCACAGAATCTTGATCATAGGCATTCTTCACTTTCCACTAGAAACCAAAGATCTTCATCCTGTGCCATGTAAGTGGTGGGATCACCAGGACCTTCAGCCTCCAGAGGAAAGGATAAGATACTGCCTCTGAAATTCTTACAGTTGAAGCAAAGGACTGATTACTCAACCAGTCTTCATGTACAGCCAGACACATTCTTAGCCTAACTATATTTGAACGGTCTTAAAAAATGTCGAACCACAAATTCCTGAGCAGTACCAACACCGGAGCAATTACAGCCCTAGAGGCACGCCGTGTTACAGGGGTTCGGCAGGCACCTCGCCAGGTGGGCCGGGCACAGCAGGACGGCTCCGCCCTTACTGCTGGGTGCGCCCAGAGGAGATGAGACCTCCAGGGCTGCATCCCCTCCACGCACAGCACCAAAGGGAAAACGAAGGCTTTGTCCCTTGGGCGAGCTCATCCCGCCAACACGGCACAGCCGGACTGCGCGGCTGCAGAAGGCAAAGACTCCAACCCGGACCCCGGGAACACCGCACAGGGCAGCGGTGTCGCTCCGGCCGGGCTCGGCCGCCCCGCACGCAGTCGGTTCCCGGTTCCGCACAGCTGCGGAGGGACACGGAGCTCGAGGCGGCTCTCTGCCCGCCCGTTCCGGCTCCGTTAGACGGCGGCACCGCGAGGCGTCAGATCCTGCGGAACCCCTGGCCCTACCCCACCGCCCCCCGTGGGCCCTGCCCCTACCGCCTCCCCCCGGTGCAGGCCGCAGCCGGGGCCTCCCTCACCGCCGCCCCGGGGGAGGGAAAAGGAAGCGGCGGGGCGCGGCCGTGGGGCTGGAAGCGGCGGATCCCGGCGCTGCCCGCGCGGCGCTCACCATGGCGGCTCGGCGGGGCTGCGCTGGGCGGTGGCAACGGCGGCGCCTCCCGGTCCGCTCCGCTCCGCTCTCCCTCCTTCCGAGGCAGGCCGCGGCCCTTCCACTTCCGCCGTTGCCTAGGAGTGAACATCCGGGTCAGCGCCGCACCGCCCCGCCCTCCCACCGCAGTCCAACCAATCAGAGCGCGGCTCGCCGGCCCTCGCCAAGTATGGAGCGCTGCGCGCGTACGGGGCGGGAGAGAAGGGCGGGAGGAACCATTCCGCGCCGCAGGGCGGGGGGAGCAGCGCCAGGCGCTACCAACGTCAGCGCGGGGGTGGGGAAAACTGAGACCGGAAGAAGCGCGGCCAATCAGGTGCAGGGGGCGGGGCCTGCGGGAGCGCTCCCGCGCGCCGGTCTCGCGGTTCTGCCCGAACGCCTGAAGGCGCCCTAAAGGTGGGCGGGGGAGCAGCGCTTAGTGCTGCAGAGTGCTGCTTGTAGGGCTAGGCGTGCTGCGGTTATTCCTCTATTCCTTCAGTCCCAACGGACAGGTGATGAGGAATAGTCGGCTTCTAGCTAATTAAGGATAAGGGTAATTTGAACAGCAAGTGTCCAGCTTGCCTGGGAGCGTAGCTTTGATTCTGTAAAGCGTGCGTGTGCCTGCTGGAAGGTGAGCAGGTGCTCGCACGTTTTGGTGACTTCAGAGCTCAAGAAGCTGATACACATCTGTGAAATAAAATCAGTGTGTCCGGGCGTATGGGTAAATAAAACATTCCTGCTTTCCTTTGACTGTCCTTGGAAGAAATCTCTTCCTAAAATACTGAATTGCCTTTCAGTGATCTCAGGTAAAACCAATCCCCGTTTCTGACTGTCCTTCCTGTGCAGAGCACGTCAGAGTCAGTAGTGGCACAGCTCTCCGCTGCAGCTTTTTGGGAGCAATCTTTGGGGCTGTGCTTCATGAGAGCTTTGTGCCAGGATCCCGAGAACCCTCTGCTGGTGCTCCCTGGCTCCTGCATTGCAGGCTTGGCCGTGGTGAGCCAAAAGCCCAGCTCTTGTTCTGTTTGCTTTCCTTCTTTGCTGTAGAAACTGGAAATGCTGTCAAGGGGAGTCATGCATTGCTTCCTGCTCTGATGCAATGGTGTGAAACCACAGCCTGTGTGCAATTGTAATAGGACTTATGTATTCTTAAGTGAACTGCTTCATTTTTTCCTGGGAGGTGACATTTTGTGGTATATCCACCCGCCAGGAGATAGCCAAGGCCAAGCTCTGACTTTCCACTAAAACATTATCACAGATGTTTTTGGTTTGGCTGTCAATTTTAGTAGCTCTCAGATACCAAGCAGAACCTTTCAAGAGATGGCAGCTCGGGCTGTGCTCACTGCACTTAACAACACAGGGCAGAACAGCTGCAACTTTCAGCTTCAAGGCAAGATGCTGATTTCCAGGGATGGGACATGTTAGCACGAGGTGGAACTGCTGGAGGTCATGAATTATAAAACCCAAACTGTCCTATCTGCTGATGACTGTTACTGTTACCCATTTTTCCAAGTTAACCTTGGCCTATATTTGGTTGATTTGTTTGGGCTTTTTTGTTCTTTTTGATGAAGAAATAAAATGATTGTGGGAGGCAAAGAGTGGAAAGCAGAAGAATGATAACCTCAGGAAAAAAAGGAGCTATGCTGCTTAACAAACAAAAGCACATGAAAAAACACTACCAAACAAACCCTAGGATGGGAAATAATGCCTAGTAGAAAGGCCACATGACCTCAAAAGGCATTTCCTGCTTTAGAGTCTCCAAATTCAATTCTTTGCCAGTACTATTCAGCCTAACCTCCCTGAAGCCAGTTTGTAACTTGCAGCAATCCAAGCTCCTTCTATTTCCCGGTCCCCACATCCTTCAGTCCTTACATTCCTTCAGAGGTTCCTACCAGCACTAATTAAGAAAAGGCCGCCTTCATTACTCAGTAGATTATTCCTTCCTTTTACAGGGTTCCACACGTCTAATGTGCATGTTTTCCTTGCAGCAGGGTCTGGGAGGACAAACACATGCTCTAAACTTCACAGCTTTTGTCACAAAACTCATGCAAACTGCTCAATGACTGTTTTGCTTTTAGGTCTTACAGTTAATGAACTGAAAAGGTTTCTAGCTGCTTGCTGAAGACAGAGCAAATGCAGATTTATGTAGCCTGCCATATTTTAAACAATTTGAGATCTGAATGAACGTCGATGCCAAGAGGATGTTTTTCTTACATGAAGAAATACAAGCATCCTGGAGTTTGTTTTCCTGCTAATAGGTATAAAGCAGCATAAGCAGCTGCTTTTTGTTTTCCAAAAAATATTTGCATTAAGAAGATCTGCAGATTCCTTTTGAAACTGATGTAACATCTTTTCAAATGAGGACCAGCTGCTTGCTTTGCTTGTTTATAGCAGGACATGCTTAAGGGAATGTTTTTGTTTGTTTATTAAGATGTAGGAGCAAGCTCTTCCTTGCAATCTGCAGTGTGGAGATCTCAGCTGGCAGAAAACTCAGTGTATGCAACTACAGTTGTGGCCATCCTACCTTCTGTTGCAGTTCTCGGAGAGGCTGACACAAAACAAAGCTTATTCAGTCTGTGACTGGGGGACATTCAGTAGGTCTGAGTGCTGTGAGGCGCGTTAGCTGCACTCCAGGCACGTCCCACACCTCCCAGCATGGAGTCATCCACCTACAGCTAGGAGTGTGCTCAAAAGGCTCAGCAGCAGGCATTATGCATCTTAGAATGAGGGCCTATAAACAAAGGAAGCAAACAATTATGTTAGTTGGTGGCTTACCAGCCCTACAACATCGGATTCATGTGCAACTAATAAGAAGGCTTTTCATCTTTTAATCAGCAACTATAAAATACATATGCTCTCCCTGTACTTTTGATTATATTCAAGGAAGCAAAAGGATAAATACTTCTTTTTTAGCATTGTCACGTTTAGCCAGAGCTCCTTCAAACACGATATGCTTTTTATTTTATCCTCCTTGCATGTGTTGCATGCATGGTGAAACCCTGTTTATTTTGTTTATTCCAGCATTTAGCCAGGACCAAAATGTAACTGAGAACATGCTTAGAAAGCAGGTCCTAAAGAAAGCTTTAACGCTTCACCAAACACTCATTTTTCCGCTAAAGAAAAAGATATCTTAGGCTTCTTTTTCCTTTCTTTCTTTCTTTCTTTTTTTTTTTCAGTCAGATTGCCCATTTTCTTTCATGTCCAGCTTGAGGCACTTGAAAGATATGTAAACTTTTTATTAGGGGTTCTCATAAATTGAGTTTACTGCTGCAAGAGTCTCCACTTCCAGCAGTGGTAAAGTGTAGCTTGCTGGTTTGTATTAGTCAGTCTGTAAACCAGCAGCTTCACTTGATTTGAGACTGAAAACTGAGCGTTTCTTGGAAACCAATATAGAAAAAAGGTACCTGCAGTGCTACCCAATGGTTTGGGATTTCGTATTCAAGCCATAGATAGTTCTCACTATGGAGATCTTTGTACACATTGTCAAAATAGCTGCACAAACAATAAAAACCACCTCCTTCCCAGTCCAATTCCAAGGCAGCTTTGCTGAGGGTACTCTTGCAATACAGTACAAGAGCTGATGAGAAAATCAAAATACGGTGTTTGGTAAAAAGCAACATGCTGTCCATCTGGAGAGGTTTGAGGCACTCCTCCTCCCATGCCAAGAGCACTAAAACAAGGCTCCAAAACGAGACTCTTCATCAGTATCCAGGCAGATAGACTGCCTGCCTTAGAGGTTCGTTTGGATAACATAAAAGGCAATAAATTTAGTGGCCTGAAAGGTCCATGTAATTGCTTATTTCAGTCCAGGAGTACCTGCCCACCCTCATGAGTGCCTTCACAAACACCTTGCAGTTGTTTGCAGCCACACTCTTTCTGTGTCCCACAGATTTCCACCCAGTTGTTTCACAGAATGCGTGATGCCAGTGGGCAAATGTCAGTGATACATCTGAAACCTCACCACACAAAACCCAGCAGGGCCTGCTCACAAAAGGACCACGAGGCTTTCTTTAAATATCAATCCCAAAAAGCAGCCTGCAGAATTACTGAGATTGTTTGTTTTTCAGCACATGCTTCTTCATTGTGTACTCAGGGATGCTGTTTACTCCTGTGCTTGTGATTGCAATTTTACCTTTATATTTTAAGCATAGAAAGTGCAATAGGAAAGACCTCGCAGAACTGTCTTTAGCCTGAGCAAAGAATATAGAGAACATTCTTGTCAAGCTTGGTCATTAACTGCACTAATAATGCCTGTCATTAAAAGAGAAACAAGGAGAAGCTGATTAAATGCACCAGAAAGAAACAAAACTTTCCATTCCTTTCCTTCTTCCTTGACACGTTGCACTTCACTGGAAGCATGCTAACATACCAGCCAAAAGAGTTGTAAGGGCTTGGATTCCTTCTTAATACAATAGTCACGGTTCACTAGTTAGAATCTGCATGGAAAAAAAGTGCTTGAAGAGCTGAGGAGGAGTGCTCTCTGCAGGGTTATTCATTAAGCAGTCTATCAGCACAGAGCAGTAGCACTTTTTCAACAATCAAACTAAAAAACGGATCACAAAGTAGCAGCCATCCAATGAAGGCGTGCTGTAGTGATGCTGATTCCTGCAAGGGAAAAAGCCACAACACAAGAGTTAGCAAAAGCTCAGATCAATCTTTCCATGCAAAGTGCTTTCCTTCAGGTTCCTGAACCACTCTTCGTATTCATGGCAAAAGCAGCTTAAAGCAGAATTAGCACAACGAGCTGGGACACGTCTTGTTCCGTTTTCTAAAGTTCCACTTCAATCAGCTGTGGCTGACAACTGTAACCAGCACTGATGGATGGAACTGAATGTAACATTCCGTCAGCTCTGCAAAACTGGCATGAAAATACATTAGCACAGACACAGGATGGACTTGTGAATGTGATCACTGTAAAGGGCTGAATGATCACTCTGCATCACGAGCTGTGTTTCCTAATGCAGTACCTCAGCCCTTAGCCTGTTGTTCACCCCCACGGATCTGAGTGCCTTCCACATAAAATCAATAAGAATACAAAGTAGACTTAATGGAGCCTCTGGCACTTTTCCCACTTGAAGGCAATGTCCTGCTG